TCCTGTATGGGGTAAGAAAGCTGCCAGTTAAACACGGAGCGGCGTCTGAATGGAGGTCCATAAATGCCACTGAATCTAAGATCTAGATTAGTTCCTTGATGCTGATTTAGAAAACAGTAGAAATCTACTGAAGCAGTTCCACTCCCGACCAGTTGGTGGCGGTGATGCACCTGAAGGTTGTTCACCAACCGGCATTAAACGATAAAATGAAAGCAGAAGCATCTATCACTACCCGATCCGTCCTGTGCAAGAAGAATAACTTGCGGTCTGGCAGTACTACCCTTTTCTTACCGTTTTATTCTTTTGTCGTTTTTTAGGTGGGCGGTTCCTTTTCAATATTTGTGTTTTTGCGTAAATATTGCATATTATAAAAACGAAAAAAAGCAAAACATAAAACACTTATTTAGCCTTTGGAACGTTACTGATTCTGCTCTGAGCATGTCCGATGATGACGTTTAACATCCTTTATTGTTTTAAGTAAGTAATAATTTTCCGTAGCGTTATTACGTAGTTTTTCGGTGATCCGGATCTTATCGTTCTGTTTGCGCAGGACAGATTGTGCTTCCGGGACAGATCGGGTAGTGACATCATCGATTGAATGCTGTATCTTTCCTGAAAGGTTGTTTTTTAATGAGTGATTAGTTTAACGTTGAGTTTTCTTCTTCTTCTCGTTTCCTCGGCTTTACTGCCACCAACTGGTAAAGATATTTATTGGCGTTTTAGATTCGTTCTCATAAATCTGGTAATTAATTTTAGAATTAATTCCATTTTAGGGTTAAATGGCTGAGTTGAACCATTACGTTTATTTCCTGCTTTTTTGTAAATTTGGGACTTTCTCATAAATGCTGATTGGATTTAGTAAATTAGTTGAGCTGCAACTAATGATTATTTTACTAATCGGTTAATGTGTCGATTATTTTTTAATTAGTTGATTCATAATCGGATAGAAGATATTTTACTAAATGAAACCAGGTTTAACTAAAACTTTTCAGTTGAGTTTATTTCTATAGCGCTAATTCAGAACACGTCATCTCAGGTCACTTTACAGTTTTCCACTTGAGGAGTTCTGGATAGAGCAACTTGGCAGATAAAAAAGATTTTTATTCTCTTAAATGCTTAAATATTTATATATTTTTTATAATCTTAGGAGAATTCCTGCTCTAAAACACGTCTTTAGCTGACAGATCGACCCACTTGGAGTCTCTACGCTCCAATTAACAATGAATTAATGACTAAATTAGTTGATTATTTTAAAAATCGATTAATCTAATTAAACAGATACATTTTTTTGTAAAACTGTCTTTGGTCGGCTTATCCACACACGTCACATCAGATGTTTGAGTTGAAAGAAAACAAGATTAGAAGTTACAATTCTGCAGGAATACAAACTACAAATTTACAAGTTTATTTCACTCATTTATTGGGCTGAAATAAATTGGTAACGCTTTCTTTTCCAGTACATCAATAACCAAGTATTAACCTGGTAATAACCATGTATTAACCTGATAATAACACAACAAGTTACACTATATTACTTGGTAACAAGAAGCACTTTGTGCAGAATTTTGGTGCCACAGTGCTTCAAATTTTAGAGAAACAAGGTAAAGTTGGACTTCTTTACGGAAGAGGATTATGGGCACTGAAAAAAAAAAAAAAACGTTAACTGATTTTTAAAATATTTCAGTATAATACGGGATAAAAGTTGGAATTCTGACTTTTTTCTCGGAATTCTGACTGAATTCTGACGGCTAACAAACATGTTAGCATCCAGCCGTAGCCATGTCTGTTTTAGAGTCTATCTCTCTTGTTTTAATCACCTTCTCCTCTTCCATTAATCAAACAGCATCAGCAGGGATCCTCAGGGACGGAAAAAGTCGCCTAATTCCATCATTTTCCACCAATGTGTTCCTGTTTCTCCCAAACTACTGAAGCTGAGAGCTCCACATCTCTGCCTCCATGGAGACCATCTACATTAAGATCCATAACTCCGCCCACTAGTTTATCACTTGGCATATAACAGAAAACCAAACCTAGAAGACAGCAGCCAGTCTTTTTAACTAAACTCTTATTTATCTCTAACTTGAGTTCAGTTATATAACGCTTAATTAACCTGATCGTCAGTTACAGTTACTCCATTGGTAGGTGGTGGCCAATAATAGAAACTGTTATGGGGAACATAATGGTAATTACCCACCAAACGTCTCCACGGTTACATCATAACATACAATTCTAATTATTACATTCAGATAAATACTTTCAAATTATATATTATGCCTCGATTTTGGGGTAATTATCACATAAAGTGTTTCTTGTTAGCAAGTAATATAGTGTAACTTGTTGTGTTATTACCAGGTTATTACATGGTTATTGATGTACTGTAAAATAAAGCGTTACCAATTTCTTTTAGCCTAATAAATTAATGAATTAAACCTGTAAATTTGTAGTTTGTATTCCTGCAGAATTGTAACTTCTAATCTTGTTTTCTATCACCTCAAACATCTGATGTCGTGTGTGTGGATAAACCGACAGCAAAGAACCAATAAACAACCTCCAGTTTCTTCACATTGATGGACTTCAGACAGCCACACATCGGTTTTTATTGACAGCTATTTTACCCCATACCTCCGCCTCTCAATCTTCCTGCTTTCGCCTCTCTAGATATTAGCAGTAGAGGCAATCGTTTCCATCCAGAGCTAATCTAGAAGCTAACCCACTAACCATTTCACTCTTTCTCAGTGTGGCTTTGATCGTTTCCCTAATTAATGCTGACTGTTTTATTCACCTCTGCTCAAAGCAAATGGCGCCGCATTAACCTCCCTGACTGCTTTTAGCTTCACGATGGCGAATAAATGTTGGCGACGTGAAAAATGACTGAAACTGTGTGACTGTGCAGGAAGGGACCGGAGCCGGAGGAAATGGACAAGGACATGATTCTGCAGGAGAAGGAGGCTGAGGTTAGAAACCGCAGGCATTATAATATGACATATATATATTTATGTGTGTGTGTATACATACGGGGCACGAGGCTGCCGGTGTTCAGGCTACCGCCATCGGATTGGGTTGGATTTTGAAATTCCCCCCGGATTATTTTTTTAGCTCTGAAAAGTAGGACATGTCCAGGAAAAAGAGGACGTCTGGTCCCCCTACCATATCAACAATCTGATG